TACCAAAATGTGATGATAAAAGCAAGTTTAAAATCTTCTTTGAAATAAACTAATCTGTCCGGCCAGCATGGCTCAGTGGTTGAGCCTCGACCTATGAACCAGGAGGTGGTGGTCCAATTCCCAGTCAGGGCACATGCCTGAGTTGTGGGCTCCGTCCCCAGTAGGGAGCCTGCAGGAGGCAGACAATCGATGATTCTCTCTCATCAGTGATATTTCTATGTCCCTCTCCCTCTCCCTTCCTCTCTGAAATTAATTTAAAAAATATATATTTTAAAATAAAATAATCCTGAGAACTGACAGGTCATCAGTAGTAAAATGGGTATGTGTGTCTATCTAGGATATATAAGGGTGACAGAGCCAGAAAAGGGAGGGATGCTATGTCTCCCTCACTACAGCTCCTTGATGGCTCCAGTGACCTCCACAACTTATGAACTGTGTGATGGGATGACATTTGGCCATATGGTGTAAGGAGCTACGGAGCTTAACCAGGTCAATTTGTCTTTACTTATCTATTTATCATTTATATCCATTCAGCAACCAAAGTAGATTTGTATGATACATATAACACTTGAAATCAGAAAAAATATATTTGTATGTGCAAAGTACGTTTTCTAATTATTCTCAATTCTCAATGTTACAGTGTTAATAAACGTGGTCTACTCTACCCTTGAACCACTTGTTCATTGGCATAAGACGCCACATTTTTCTGTCTTCCTATCATGTCACTAGCCCACATTTTTTTGTTTCCTTGTAAGCCTCATCCTCCTCAAACTATCCCTTAAATCTTGATTTTTTTTAGGGCTCCCTCATGGACTCACTTTCTACTTACCTTATATTCTACCTGGATGATTTCAATCTGTTTTGGTAGCTTCCGCCACCATCTTTTTTCCAACACACGCAATATATATTGCCACAGTAGTCCTTTTTCTACAGTTCAAACCCAGGTAACTGCCTTCAGAATATCTCCCCTTGGATATCTTACAGATACTTCAAACCCAACATGTCCAAACTGAACTCATCATCCCCTCAAACCAGCTGCCTTACAAAGCATTCCCTGTCTCAGGAAATGGCAGCATTCCCCACCCACTTAATCAAGCTAGGAATCTATGATTAATCCTTAACTCATCTCAGTTCCCTAACTGCCTAAGTCCAATCAGTCACTAAGTTCTAATTCTATTTCCAAAATCAGTGCCTTTCAAATTTATTTTACTGTGAATAAAAAAATATATAAAACTTCTTTTGCAACATGACCCAGCCAGCATGCAGGTGCATGTGTGTGTACACACACATACACACAAGTGAAACAGAAATCTCACAAAACCATTTTATCATCATTATATTCAAGTCCTTCTGATATTTTTTATTATTTTCTTCCATTTTTTTCTTACTATTCTTACTTTTCCTACTATTATTACTTTTTTATATTCTTACTTTTTTTAAGTGCTAGTAACCTGTGGGTTACTGGCCAGTGTTTAACAGCCAGCTTTCCTGGAAGTGAGGGAAGGAGAACCCAAGCACAGCATTTGACAGCCCTTGGTGTAAGAACTCCCACTGTGGCTGAATTTAAGCTGCCAACCAACCAGCTTGCAACCATCCTTCCTAGAGATGCAGTAACCCACTCTCCTGACCATGTGATCTGTTTCACATTTATTCAGTACCCCTCAAAGACTTCTTGATGTCCATACCAGGATAGAGTCTGCAGTTCTTACCATGTTTTAAAAAGTCACCCACAGTGGAGTGTCTGCTTGCCCCTCATGCCCTCTCTCCCTTGAACTCAACAAAACATTTTCTTCCTGATATCTGGAGCTCTCCCTTGTTTTCAGGTCTTTTGACATACAATTCCATTTGGCTAGAAAGTTCTTGTCTCCCATCTTTGTTCAATTAAGTCTTACTCCTCCTATCACAGCTTAAACGTAACTTGATTCATTTATTCTTTCTCCTACTATGTGACAGGCATTGTGGTAAGTATTAAAAATACAATAAGATATTTAGATACTATAAAGGAGGAGAAATATTATTCAAGTAAATATGTCATTCAAATTTAAGTACTAATAAAAAGAATAGCTTTAATATAAAAGAGATTTATGGTTCTGAAAGAGTTTGTAAAATCTGTTCTAATATAATAGGTCAGAGAAAATTTTCTAACTGATGACTGATTCGTTGTAATAGTTGAACTAAAATATAAAGGAGAACTATAATTTAATGAGTCTAAGGGTAAGGTAACTAACAGCATAGACAGAAAAAAAAATGGAGCAAGTGAAAATCCACATGGCAGGAAGGAACATGGCAAAATCAAGAAACCAAATGAAAGCCAGTGTAACAAAAGCAAGGTATGATATGGGGGGATGAAACAGGCAGAAGCCATTCTATGAAGGGCGCTCTAGACTTTGTTAAAAATGTGGGTCTTTAATAAAAAAAGCAATGGGAGGCCATTGACATGTTTGAAAGGACATAATGTGTTCAGATTTCTGGTTTTAAAACTGGCAGATGTGAGGATGAATGGGAAGGAGACAAAAGTAGATATGGTGGAGGACAGATTAGAAACTATGACAGTACTCTAGACAGAGATGGATGATTGTAATACAAGTTATGATACTGGTGATGGAGATGGTAAACAATAAACATATTGGAGAGATGTGTGAGGTAACCTTGACAAGACAAAGTTATGGATTGAAAATGTGTGATGAAAGAGAGGGAAATAACAAGATGACTCCTGGGTTTGGGTTGCAAAACTAAATGGAGGTAGTACCATTCAGAGAGATAAAGGATAAGGAACAACTGAGGAGGACCAGGTTTGAGGAAAACAAGCATGACATAGGCTTCAGATATATCAAGGCAAGGGTATCTTTATGATGTGCAAAATGAGACGTGATAATGATTGTTGGAACAGAGGAGGGATCTGGATAGGGACATAAATTTTTGAAATTTATGTGAATAGGTAGAAGACATGAAGCAGTGCCATGAAAAAGCTCATCATCTGAGAATGCATACTATAAGAAGGTTTTAAAACCAAACCTTAAGGAAATTCTGCATTTAATGGTTTGGTAGTGAAGGGTGAACTTACAAAAAGATCCAAGGAGAACAGCGCCAGAGATAGGAAGAGAACCAGAGAACCTGATGACAGAGGGCCAGTGTGTTTTTTGTTTGGGGGGTTTTTTGTTGTTGTTGTTGTTAATCCTCACCCAAGGATATTTTTCCATTGGTTTTTAGAAACAGTAGGAGAGAGAGGGAAAGACAGAAAGAAACATCCATGTGAGAGAAACACATCAATTGGTTGCCTCCTGCACTGGCCCCAACCCCAAGGCCTGGGCCAGGTAGGAGCCTGCAACCAAGGTACATGCCCTTGTCTGGAATTGAACCAAAGACACTTTGGTCCACTGGCTGACACTGGAGAAGTTTGCTTTTGAAGAGAAAGAGAGATAGCAGTATTTGTGAAGTTGATGGGAAATTTTTTGTTGTGCTTTACATATTTATCAGTTATGGAAAAAAATGATTTGAAAGGAAATTGAGTACATAAGAGAAAGAAACACTGATGGTAAGTGCAAGGTTCCCCCCAAAAGCAGGAAATTATCTCTGAGCATCCAGGACATCCTACACTTAAACTTTTCTTAATCCTGACTATACTAGTTATTTCCTTTTTATTATCTGTATTCCTCATTAGATGGTACTGCATGAGGACAAAAATTACCTTTGTCTCATTTACTTCTGTATCCCTAGTGTGTATCACAGCACTCAGATAGGAGGCATTAATAAATGTCAATTTTAATTGCTCGTTAAAGTGAATGACACTGGAGCTACATTTAATAAAATAGACCATCCCAGAAGTCTTGTGATACTATAACATGTGTATATGTATGTATGCACACACACACAAACACGCACAATGGTTATCATTTTTTTAGGCTACAATTAAAACTGGTATCATTATATTAAGCAGAAGCTATTTGGGCATTAAGACAAACTGGCCTTAGATTGAGATAGAAATTGAAAGTCAACCGAGAACCAAGAAGTCTCCAGAAATAGATGAGCAAGTCCATGAGTCATTTTGTGCAGAAAATTGAGCCTTGATTATATCAAGGAAACAAATGGTGAAAGCACATCCTGTTGGGACATGTGGATGCATCATTCACACCAATCCAGGTGAAACCCCACATAACAGGACTTCTGCATCTGAGATGGCTTGAGGACCTAGTAAGTCAAGAAAACTTTTTAAAAAGAAAACCTTCATCGTTCTCTAGCCGATTTGGCTCAGTGGATAGAGCGTCGGCCTGCAGACTGAAGGGTTCCGGGCTCGATTCCAGTCAAGGGCACCCGCCCAGGTTGTCGCCTCGATCCCCAGTAGGGGGCGTGCAGGAGGCAGCTGATCAATGATTCTCATCATTGATGTTTGATCTCTCTCCCTCTCCCTTCCTCTCTGAAATCAATAAATATATATGTATTTTTAAAAATAGATGGGATGTGGTTATGTAAAGAAGAGATTAAGAAGATTGTACAATAGTACTTAGACAAACAACAGTTTCAAATCCCTGACTAGAACCCTTCAAGAGTCAGAAAAGAGAAGGAGGAACTGAGGAACTGCCAAATTGGAGGAGAGTAAGGACTCGTGACCACCAAATGCAGCAGATAAAGGACATTAATGGGAAACAGAAATTCCAAATAAAATCTGTCATTCAGCTAGTAGTATTGTGTACCAAGGTTCACTGCTACGTTTTACCATGGTGATACAAGATGTTACCGTGCAGGGAAGTTGAGCTGGAGCTCTCTATACCATCTTTGCTACCCCTCTGTGAGTTTAAAATTAGTTCTGCGTGAAAAAAAATAAAAGAAAATAAATTACAACAATGTTTCCAGTAGTTCCTGAGTCTCGGAAGCAAAGCTGTGACTGGCATTGCTGAAGCATGGTTGGAATGGGGGAAGGGGTCCTGTTGGTAATATCAGCAACTTTGAAATCTGACATGAGAGTAAATCCTGTCTATGTCTCCATTGCAATTCCATTGCAGGGTGTGTTGGGTGCATCATGTGACCGGGATGTGGGCGTACCCCTTCCTGGAACACATTGGCCCGGGAGCCAGAGTCATCTTCTTTGGGTCTACAACCATCTTTATGAACTTTTTGTACCTGCTGGGAGAAGCCCTGAACAGCTATATCTGGGATACACAGAGAAGTAAGTATTGTTTAGGGGAGCATAAAACAAGAGAATTTCAGTCTTGAAAAGTGTGCGCAGAGACCGAAGGAAAATTCTGCTGTAGCATGGGATCACTTAGGAAGAGTTCCTTTTTTGTAATAACAATGTTAATTTAAGAGCTCCTGGCATTTACCTGAAAGGTTCATTACTCACTTTGTCTTATTAGCTAGTAAAATATCTAAATCTAAGAGGAAAGAAGCACATCTATAAATCTTATAGTGAAAAATGGAGTGTTAACAGGAAAAAATTTAGGGAGTTCACTCTGGTTAGTAAGTACTGCCTTAGCTAAAGGACCCCGACGAAATAGATAAATTATTAAATGTAACAGGTCTCGATGGAAGCCACCCAGATCTCCACTTCTCACATCATCCTTCCCATGGGTGCAGTAGCCTCAGAGACATCTCACCACCATTCTGCTAGACATCGAGCAGCACAGAAGGCCCAGGCCACATGGTTCACCAGTGATTGTCATGTTCAAGGGCAAAGTAGTCCGGGCACTGAAGGGTAACACTTCATTGCTGCAAAAAGTTTTTTAACCTACGATTTGATTTGTCTTTTGTTTCTATTTATAGCAGGGCCTCCATCTTGGCAAGCACGTAATCTTACCCAAGCTGTGCAAAACCTGTCCACAGTGTATGTAAAATAACATAAGAATGGGAAGGTGAAAAAAAGCAGCAACACGGATATGTAGTGACTTGAGCCCTCACGATAATCCATCCAAAGACAAGATGACTTGGGGATTTTAGAGAGCTCTGGGCATCTCCTCTGAAATAATCACAACATTCTAGGCCTTGCCAGAAACTGATCTCTGTTCCACAGACATTGAGTACCCTACTTTGTGCCAGACACTATGCCAGGAACGTGACCTAATTAGACAAATAAAACAGTCATTGCATGGTTGTCGAATTGGACTTCTTTTGTGTGTGGGTCTTCTAAGATAGTTTGTGTCAAAGTGTTAGCCAATGTTAAATGGCCCAGAGGAACTTGAGGGTTTCTTTTCTCAGCAGCTGGCTTGATTTTAATAAGTGGTCTATTAGAAAAAGTATCAAAATTTTTATTCAGCTCAGGCCACGGCTTGAGGGACCAGAAATTAATCTTTCCATAATTTTCCTTTCTGTTCAATGGGAATAGTAATCTTCCTCTACTAATTAACTTATAAAAGTATTTAGCTAACTTTCAAAATATATTAAAAATAAAATGTAGCCTGGCCGGTGTGGCTCAGTGATTGAGTGTCGATTTATGAACCAGAAGGTCACAGTTTGATTCCCGGTCAGGGCACATACCTGGGTTGTGGGCTCGATCCCCAGCAAGAGGCATGCAGGACGCAACCGATCAAAGATTCTTTCTCATCATCGATGTTTCTATCTTTCTCTCTCTCTCTCTCTCTCTCTCTCTCTCTCTGTCTCCCTTCTTCTCTGAAATCATTAAAGATACATTTTTTAAATAACATAATAAAATGTAAACAGTCTTAAGTTTTGTGAGAAAGGCCATAATTCAATTTAAGCTAGTACTGTATGTCCAATATATAGTATATGATGGGCTTATCCTATTGGTCATTTGCCATTGTTCTACTATTTCTAAGAGAAAATGGCCTGAAAAGAGAGAAAAAAATCCAATCTATATTAATATAATACTACATTTTAGCAGCTTTGAGTGAGAAGTTAAAAATGAATAGGGCAACTAAGGATTTGTTGAATCACCTGTTCAATTTAATTTGTGCCATTCTCTTCAGCAACTTGAGTTAAAGATGACTAACATTTTGTAACTCATGTCAAGTATAGGGATTAATTTTATCTGCATGGGACCATCTAGATAATTCCATGGGGACAGATGTTTTATGCCAACTGGCCATCTTTTTCGTATCTGAGAGGGATCACAAACTGATGACCTCCTCCAAATCTTACCTGCCAAAAAGCTTTTTTAGGCCTACATAGTGGGACTTTTGTTTGGAACCAACATTTCAAAATTGGTAGATTTCACATCAAGGTCACATTTTTTATCTTCTCAAATATATTAAGACCTGGCAACACTGAGCCCACTGTTCTCTTCTGGCAACAATGGTTTGGACTTGAGTATCAGTTGCCTACTTTAGATGTCTGTTTAATTTTGCCTAATCCTCACTGGCCACTTTGCTGTCACATTAGCCGCCTGGTTCGGTAAGTAGATGAATCTGAAACTGCCAGTTAAAAGAAGTGTGTCCTATGTGTGTTTGTGTGCATATTGTTAGGATGAACTGAATCCAATCAAGTACAGTATTAAAATTCTGAGTACGTTTACTTACACCCCAAATAAAATTCCCCCAAGAAGCAGGAATACCACATTTCAGCTCCTTTCCTTTTATCCATAATGAATTTTAATGGCTCACTTGGTTACGCTATGTTATCCTCAACTACAAGATAAAATCACATTATTATAGAATCTTAAAACTAAAAAGATTAGAAAATCATCCTAGCCACCCCTTACCTTTTATAAAGAGTCAACTGAGGCCCATAAACCTTAAGTAACCCACCAAAAAAGGTGGGTGCAGAGCCACCTCCTTCTGACGGATGTCCAATCCAGTGTTATTTCTAGTGAACCAAAAGAATGTCACCATTGGAAAATCAGACACATGAGAGTTCAGGAAGTTCTCTCAGAACCATGGACCTAGATTATGCTAAATTTATAGGTAATCATTTACTCTTTTGAAAAGAAAGGAACTCCATGTGGCTTTGGGGATATTGTATTAGTTTGCTAGGGCTGCTACAATGAAGTACCACAAACTGGAAGACTTTAAACAATAGAAATGTCATGGCTCACAATTCTGGGTGCCTGAAGTCCAAAATCATGGTATTGGAGGGTTGGTTCCTCCTGAGGACTATGAGGGAACTAATGCCCCAGGTCTCTCTACTTGGCTTGTTGGTGGCCATTTCATGTTCACATGGAGTTCTCACTTATGTGTGAAGCTGTCTCCAAATTTATTTTTATACAGACATCAGTCATATTTGATTAGGGCCCACACCGGTGACTTCATTATAACTTGGTAAAGAGCCAAACACTGTCACATTCTAAAGTACTGGGAGTTAGTTTGGAGAGATCCAATTAGCCCATAACATTCTGCCTTCAGCCTCCCCCCATATTCATGTCCTTTATTCACACAAAATGCATTCCCAATAGCCCCCCAAGCCTTTCCAGACTCAACTCTCAAGTCCTAAATCTCACCTTAAATATTATCTAAATCACACAAGAGTAAAACTGAGGGAATGATTCATCCTGAAGCAAAATTGCAAAATTGCTCCCCAGTTATGAACCTGTGAAACCAGACAGAAAGTTAGCTTCCAAAATGCAATGGCTGGACAAGCATAGAATATACACTTTCTTTCCAAAAGAAAGAAATCACAGGGTAAAACGTCATGGTTCCCAGCCAAGTCAAAAAGCTGGCAGGGCAAACTCCATGCGATTTGAAGGCTTGAGAATAATCCTCTTTGGCTGAATGTTCTGTCCTCGGGACTCACCAGGCTGTGGCCCTTCATCCTTGGCCCTGGGCAGCAGCCCTACCCTCTGGAGCCAAGAAGGATCCAGCCCATCAAATGCCTTTGGAGTCGTTCTTCCTGCATTGCATCCTGCCCGTTCATCTATGCTGGCAGTGTTTCTGCTGGTACAAAATTTTCAAAACCCCTTTGGCCTCCCATGTAATCCATGGGGGTCCAAACCATCAGGCAGAGGGTCCCCCACAGGTCTTTCCAGGCTGAGATGATTAATTGGATCCACAGGTCATCTGCCTAATCTCTTTAGCAATCGGTTGTCCAGCCACATCCTTGGCCTGCTCTCACACTCCAAGGTCCTGGGGATTAGGAAGGGCTTCAACTGATGACTTTGGTGGGGGACACAATTCAACCTACAACAGCTGAAATATTTCTGTACTTTAAGAATATTTCAATTCCGCCCTAGCTGGTTTGGCTCAGCGGATAAAGTGTCAACCTGCGGACTGAAGCGTCCTGAGTTTGATTCCAGTCAAGGGTACATGCCCTGGTTGCAGGCTCAATACCCAGCAAGGGGCAGTCGATCAATGATTCTCTCTCATCATTGATGTTTCTATCCCTCTCTCTCCCTCTCTTTTCCTCTCTGAAATCAATAAAAATATATTTTTTAAAGAATATTTCTATTCCAATGGGTAAGTCTTATAAAAGTCAAACTTCATGCAACCAGAAATGAAAGTGTCTAAGGGAGAAAGGTTTAGGTGAGGACAGAGAAAGCAGACCAAAGGACAAAGGAGGCCAGAGCCAGGCCTATGTGACAGAAACATCTACCTTTCTTCTCTCCCAGCTGCCCATCTAGCTCATGTCCCACCCAGGCCCAGCCAGGCTTGCAGTGTCCCAGCACTGCCCTTTGGTTGATCCCCTCTCCCAGTCTGGGGGAATCACAGGTGACTGAGTCTCTCAGTGTCAATCAGCTCTTCCTCTGTGTTTCTGAAAGCACCTCCTGCCTCAGCTCTGTGACAGGTTTCTTTCAACTATTTGTGTGGAAATTATACCACTGGTTCTTCCAAATATTATTTACAGCTGTCTAATTTTTCCCTCTACCTCCAGGCTGCCAAACGAAAGTAGGTGGGGAGTCGTTTTCCCTGTCTGGGTCAGTGAACACCCCCTGTTCTCCACCCCTGCTTTTGAAGATTCCACTCTTGCTGCCAAGTCAACCCATCTGCAGGAAAACACTTAGGAGGAAACAGACTTGAAAATGAAAAGCAAGCAGTTAGCTCCTGACAGTTTCTCCACAGGGATGAAGTGGGAACCCAAGTCATGTGTGGTGTTTGAATGGAATCTGTGTAGTGTTTTTCTGCCTTTGCCTTGGTTACCCAACAACTAAGCCATTGCCTGCTCACCCCACAACCCTACTCCTCCTCCCTTCAGATGTCCGGACTCCTGGATTTGAAGTTTTCCTTAATATGATTCTGAAAATTACTTTGGAAAAAGCGGTACAGATCCCTGCCAGTTCCTTAGTCATGAAAACCAAACCTAAAAGAATATCTAAGGACACCTGTTCAGAGCATGTTATCCACATTGTACTGGTACCACCCTGAACCCACAAAACACATACTAGGAGCCAGGGTGGGGGTTCTTTCCTAATGAAGCCCTATCATGGTGACCCTCTGCAGCTAGGCTTACGATTTTTTATATTGGAAGTTCCATATTTTGTTCTGCTTTCCCTCTAGGCCAGCCGGCTGAGACCTCCTCTATGTTTACTGTTTATTAATTGATTCAGTAAAGATGAACTGTGCCCCTACTAGGAGGCAGACACTGTGTTATGTTCTAGGAATATAATCTGGAATGAAGCAGGTAAAGGCTCTGCCCTCAGAGAGCTTGCAGGTTATGAAAGAATACCGACAGACCCTCCAAGGCAACGGGTGGGGTTATTTTGTTCCAGCAAAAATTCTCTGAGAATTTAGTATCAGAAGAAAAATCTTTATCTAGAAAATAAGTGGGAAGCATTTGCCAGGGTTAACTTTGATTCATAAGAATGACTTGAACATTTTCATCTCTAGGAAAATGAAACACCATTAGCTATTTACCATATAGGCAATAGACAGAGATCTTACCAGTCCAGTCCATATGAGTCTCAGGAAGAAAAACAGTCTAGCAGCAATAAAGAGGAAGGATCTCTTACCCTTTGAGACAGCATGGAGAGACCTGGACAGTATTACGCTAAGTGAAATAAGCCAGTCAGAGAAAGACAAGTATCACATGATCTCATTCATATGTAAAATCTAATGAACAAAATAAACTGAGGAACAAAATAGACCCAGAGACGTAGAAGCATAGAACAGACTGTCCAATCTCAGAGGGAAGGTGGGGGAGTGTGGGTGGGTGGGAGGAGATCAACCAAAGAACTTGTATGCAAATATGCACAACCCTCAGATACAGACAATAGGGTGGTGAAGGCCTAGGGCAGGGATGGGCTAGAAGAGTTCAAGGGGGGAGGGGGGGCATATGTAATACTTCAAACAATAAATATTTTTTAAATAAAAATAAAAAAATTGCCGAAACCGGTTTGGCTCAGTGGATAGAGCGTCAGCCTGCGGACTGAAAGGTCCCAGGTTCGATTCCGGTCAAGGGCATGTACCTTGGTTGCGGGCACATCCCCAGTGGGGAGTGTGCAGGAGGCAGCTGGTCGATGTTTCTCTCTCATCGATGTTTCTAACTCTCTATCTCTCTCTCCTTTCCTCTCTGTAAAAACTCAATAAAATATATTTTAAAAAAAATAAATAAAAATAAAAATAAAAAAATTAAAAGAGAAAAAACTGTCTCTGAGGCTTGGGTTGAAGAGAGGGAGAACTTTAGTTTAAGTACAGATGGGTATGAAAATAAACAGTTCCTGTGGCTGATAAGCTCTCAATGGGCTTAGAAATGTATATATTGCTTGACTCTAATCCACCGAGAGTCCTTGTCTTGGGCAGGAACAGGAATAAAATCAAAATGAAGAAGGTCTATTTGAAACTATCAGCAGCACCTCCCATCGCTACAAGCTCCTTACAAAGCAGTCTGGTTGGGGTTTCTGAGCAAACTCCATGAGTCAAGAACTAACTTGAGTCCCTCACTCCCAGAAGCCACAAGGACTGGGTGTGTCCCGGAGATGTTTTGTCTTGATTTGAGGGAAAGGGGTGGGGAGAGAGGTCACTGAGAAAGTTTCTGAAGAAAGCAGTAAATGACTTTCCTTCTCAGCTGGAGAAAAGGGGTGAGTGCAGGAGGGTGGACGAGAAATGGAGAGAGGAGAGGTGTGGTTTTTTAAAAGCAGTTTGGCAAAGCTGCTCACAGTTTAATCTGATGTTCACATAAAGTACTTGGCCTATCTTTTAGGTATGGAAGAAGAGAAAGAGAAGCCTAAATTGGAATGAGATCGAAGTGTACAAGGAAGAGCTGGACTGAGCTGCCATGAAGACTCGTTATCCCCATTTCCCCTGGGGCACTGAGAGTACAGGAGAGGAAGCCTCACAGAACTTAGACCTCGGTGGAATGTACCCCACCTCCCAGCCCAAGGGAGGACACCTTTTATAGAGAAATAAACTATATGAGAATAGAATACAGTTGTTTCCAAAATAACTCCTCTTTGTTTGTTAAAGAGCTCGTTCCAAGTTCATGATTGATGATAACATTTTCCCCCCTCTTCTAGTTTCTAAAACTAAAACTGCTCATTGGATTTTAATCTGTGCAATGGTAATACCATTAAGAATAAAATTCTGTTGTGTTTCTTGTTGAGAAATTTATGAAAATCAAAGAAGCAGATGTAGAGCAAGGCATTCATGTATGTGCCCTACAGGTGGCTGGAGAAAGGAACCGCGGCCCCGTCAGTCTGGAGGAAATGGGGGGGAGGACCCC